TGAAAAAGAGTAAAAAATATACTGTCATATTCCGCAAGTGTTTCTAAGCTCACACTAGAGGAGTTGTTGTGTTTTTTGAATCGATCGGGGAAGTTGCTCCGTCACTGCGCCATAAAAATCCTCCATTTTGCTATGGTGGTTGATACTGTTCTCGTTAGTTTCCTGTACATCGTCATCATGACAAGCGCCAATACGAATGCCCAGATCGCAGCCTCTGACTTTGGCTTTTCTCGGATGGTTTATTCGTATGCTCGGCAGCTACGGATGGAGAGGAGGAAGTTTCCGGGGAAGCACCCAGATGTGGGGGGGATAAGGCAGGTCGTGTTGGATGTACTTAAATCGGTGAAAAGGGCATGTAAAATTAGACGCTTCTTGAGGGGGGTAGTGTACGAGAGGAATTCACGAGTTGCCGAGGAGGAGCGACGAGGAGGAGGAGGAGGAGGGAATGGACGAACGGCGTTGGGTGGGCAGCAGAGGGAGAGGAGGAGGAGGGCATCAGCAAGGCTTCGATCGGGGCCTGATGGGGACTCTGATGATAGCAGCAGCGATGATGATGATGAAGGGCGTAAGGGAAGGGGTAAAGGGAGAAAACGGGGAGGGAAGAAGGGGGCCCATCGAGAGGAGGAGGAGGGTAAGCGTACTTCTAGTATAGGGAGGGAGGGCAGACTGTTTTGGAATGACCATGATAGGGTTGCCGCTGGTGTTGGAGGCTCGAACCGGAAAGAGAAGAAGAAGGGTGATGGATCCGACGACAATGATGATGGGAATAGTGGATTGTGTCTGCGAGGGCGGAAGTCGCTGCAACACAGACGACCTTCAGCTTATGGGATGGGTGCCGCTGCCGGTCCCTCTGGGAATGTAGGGGGTATGGTTCCTGGCGCTTTCGGGAATGCCGGGAGGACGGCTGATGGCGCCTTTCTAAATCGAGGAGGAATGGCTGACGCTGGAGCCTTTGGGAGTGCCAGGGGCATGGCTGGTGGTGCCTTCGGGTACGCAGGGAGGTCGGCTGGTAGTGCCTTCGGGGATGCGGAGGAGTCGGCTGGTGGTGCCTTCGGGGATGCGGAGGGGTCGGCTGGTGGTGCCCTTGGGAATGCCGGGGGTATGGCTTATGGGGCCTTTGGGAATGCCGGGGGGTCGGCTGGTGGTGCCTTTGGGAATGCCGGGGGGTCGGCTGGTGGTGCCGATGGGAATGCCGGGGGGTCGGCTGGTGGTGCCCTTGGGAATGCCGGGGGGATAGCTGCTGGGGCCTTCGACAGTAGAGGGGGTGGTGATGGCAGTGTTTCCATCAATGGCGCCGTTGAAGGCTCTGGAAATGTCGGGAGGGCTACGGGCGGTGATAACTGTGGGGGCGTTGGGGATGGGAGTGGCGGAGTTGGCAAGTTGAAACGTCGCAAGAAGGGTTTTAGGTCCGCTAGGGATCTCTCACGAACTGATGGTCAGCGGGCCGAAAGAAGGAGGATGAATCGGTCGAATAGCGACCAACAATGCTTCGTCATGATGATGGAAAAAGCATGCCAAAACGTGACACCCACGTCACCCATAGAAAGCCTCCTCGAATTAGACGCTATCTTGAAGTTTGTCCAGCCGAGAATACACGAGTTCAGGGGCCTTAGTGTTGCCTTCTGGCGATCCCTCAAGCACCTGCTGAGATGCTGTGAAGATCGTATGCGCTGGGGGAGAGACAAAGACACTGTAGAGGATATCCGAGCG